ACCGGTGTACCCATACCAGACTTCCCTCCTAGAACTGAGGCCTTACTGAGCAGCTTACACATAACCCCGTCATTGGTACTGGGCATTATCTCCAACTTAGACCCCCACAAGGCTAGTGGTGGAGACGGCATACCAGCCATTGTCCTGAAGAAATGCGCGCCTGAGCTAGCACCCATCCTCTCTAAACTGTATAATTACTGCCTCAAGGAATCCTGTTTTCCTGACTGCTGGAAGTCCTCATCTATTGTTCCTGTGTTTAAGAACTCTGGAGACCCCTCTGACCCCTCTAATTACCGTCCTATTAGTCTCCTACCCCTCTTCGGCAAAGTCTTTGAAGCCCTAGTCAATGCCGAAGTGGTTAATCACCTTATATCTCATAATCTGCTCTCAGACAAGCAATATGGTTTCCGCTATGCCCGATCTACAGCTGATGTGCTTACGGCCATCACTGAAACCGTCTACCAAGCCCTTCAAAATAACGGTGAGGCTCGTGCTGTGGCCCTCGACATCTCCAAAGCATTTGATAGGGTTTGGCACACCGGCCTTCTTCGTAAGCTCCAGGGGTATGGTGTTACTGGTCAACTGTTTGATCTAATACAATCATTCCTGTCAAACCGAGAATTGAAGGTCGTTCTCAATGGATTCTCCTCCAGTTCCTATCCCACGAACACAGGTGTGCCTCAAGGCTCCATCCTTGGCCCCACTCTTTTCCTTATTTTCATCAATGACCTTCCTGCCGCTATAGATTCCCAAGTTGGCATCTATGCAGACGACACTACAATTTACTCCTGCCTCCAAAACAAATCTAGTGTCGGCGACAAAACTAACCTGGCCGTGCGTCCTGAAATGGACCTCCAATCGGTTGTTAACTGGGGCAAGAATTGGCTGGTCAACTTTAACGCCACAAAAACTAAACTACTCTCCATTAACCACCATAGAGATCCTTCCCTGCCCCATTAAAATGTCTGATAGTCAACTTCCTGAGAGCAACTCCCTGCGCCTGCTCAGTCTCACGCTGACTGCTGACCTGAGATGGAACAAATATATTGAGTCAATTGCTTCTTCCACCGTGAGGAAAGTTGGCTCTCAGTGCCGTGCCAGGGAAATTTTCTCCCTGAATCCATACTTCAAATATACAAAACAACCATTCGCCCCTTGCATGGAGTATTGCTGCCATATATGGGCTGGGGCACCTTCTGCTTACCTCGAGTTCTTGACAAGATCCAGAGACGGATATGTAATCTAATTGGTCCTGATCTAGCGCCTCGTCTGCAGTCACTCTCTCACAGACGCATCATCGCCTCTCTCTGTCTTTTTTTCTACAAATACTTCCATGGTAACTGCTCTGACGAGCTGCTCTCTCTGGTTCCCAGACTCCATGAATTCAAGCGCCCTACGAGGCTGGCATCCCGCTCCCACCCTTACACCGTAGAAACTTTCAAATGTAGCCGTCTCTTCTACTCCAATAGCTTCATACCTTGCACCTCTCGCCAGTGGAACACCCTCCCCAATTACTGTTTCCCTGAAAGCTATAATCTCCAACTATTCAAAAGTAATGTCAATCGACATCTCCAGTTACCTTGATCTACCCACCATCCTTCTCCTCATCCTTTCTCCTATCACTCCTATCTGCTCTCGCTCCAAATCTTCCACAACCCCCTGCATCCTAGTGGCTTCACGCCTTGCTCGGGGCGTAATGCTTAAAAGAAAAAAAAAAAAAAAAAAAAACACTGACCACTGCCTTTTGTCTGATTTGAAACATTGAAATGGATAAATTCTGTATTGGTTTTCCAACAGGTTTTTTTTTTTTATAGCTTTCACAGTTAAATTTCTATTTCCAATGTTGCATAAGACTGACAAATTATATTTTTCGCAGTCAAAATAAGCTTATTTCCCATATAAGGGGATTTTGTGTCTATTATATATATATATATATATATATATATATATATATATTAGTTGACTCTCCCGTCAATTCGACGTATGAGGGTCAAGCAGATCAGTTCGAAACCGACAGCCCGACAACAGCACATGAGATTTGATTATAGTGGTGAAGGTTTTGGCAGGAGGACCATCCACACTTTTGAAGGGCCGAATACAGAGACCTGGTGCACAACGTGTCACAAGGTCCCCAAACGACCCTCCACAGGTTTTGAATTCAGAGTTGTCCTTCTCCTAGACCAGTTGCCATCCAAGGCCATCGAAACCAGTCTGTCCTGCTATTTACCCATAGCTGGAGGGAGAAGAAGAGGATTCATACCTTTCCCAAGGGTATTAGCACATAAGTGAATGTAATGGATTCGACTGGAATTCGAACTTGGCTGTCCGATTCCTCAATCCAAGCCTATATCCATTACTCCACCGTGCCTCCATATATATTTTTGTGTGTATGTATATATAATATTGGATGTGCAGGTGTGTAATGCTTAACAGCTTGGAATCGGCACTCAGAGAGTCAAGTTCTAATTCTAGTCAGGTTATTATAGTTTAATGACATTTCAAAGTGTCCACTATAATAACATTTGAAGTAATATAAATGTTGCATTCAAAATAAAATACATTAACTCTTTAAAAATATATATCTATATATAAGCACAATGGTGGGAGGGGGCTGAAAATTTCTCAGCCCAACCAAGATTGATCGATTTGTTTTTCTACAGCTTAACCCTTTGACGGTTATTTAAAGACAGAAAATATTTTTAGATTGTAAGAATTGGGCGTGGGGGAGATAATAAATTCAGTATTATCTCCCCCACCCCAATTCTTACTGATATAAGTCCTACTAATTGACCCACACCTGAGGGAAAATAGGCAGATTTATACCTTTCTGTGACAGAGAGAGAGTCTGAGAAACACATACACACACACGTATATTTTTTTTTTTTAGTGAAATTAGATTTGAATAGCAAAATTAAATCAGAGCATTTTGTTTACTGATGGGGAAATCTGATCTAGGGCAAGAGTTGTACCCATTGTCATCAGCAGACAATGGAAATGGTCGAAATAATTTTTATCAATTAAAAATTAAAATAGAGCTGAGTAAGCTAGAAGGAACTTTGGAATTTACATGATTTTGGTTGAAGCAGCCAGAACCCCATGATAATCACGTGTGAAGTAGTAGAGCCGAGGGTCAGTTACAACCAGCCACGTTTATTTATATAAATGCATAGTTATGCTGAAGAAGTCAGACAGGAGAAAATTCTTGAAGAGAGAATTGGCCGGGGTGAGTGTTGGGAGGAGGAACACCACTATAACTTTAAGCCCCGCACAGAAATCTTTATCCCTCCATCGCAAGAGTCATATATCATTCTGAGACGATTTAACATGATAACCACGTACACTCTCTCTGTCTAGAATCCAATGGAGGAGTTTTTTTTTTACTTTTCTTTTCTGTAACCCGTTTCTCTTCTTTACTATTCTTTTCTGCTATATAAAAGACATTACCAATTCAACCACTGAATCGATGTTTGTCTGGCTTTCTGCAGATATTAGGTTTTTTCTTTTTCTGAATTCTAAATTTCTTAGTGCAGACTCCCCAGCCGTGTCTACATCTTCAGTCAACCGTGAATGGATGAACATCATTTCTGCTTTCTGGATCAAACCAAACACAACGTGGGCAGGAAGCAGGATTAAACCAGTGGACCAGTCAAATAATCTACGGATTCTCAGGGGACCTATGGCCGATCCCTTAAGTTCGGTTAGGACCAAGTAGACACCTCAACCCCGAGAGTAAGACACCAGAGGTTGAGGGGCCGGGGCGAAAGTGTTAGATTTCCCAAGGGTATTTGCGCATAAGTGGCGAATGAAGAAAATAGTAACCAGCGAGTAAATTCAAGCTCTCCCAACTGGTATTTCAACCTTCAGTCGTTCCTTCTTGAGTTGTCTCCAAATCACACTAACTGCCCGTTCTTGCCGTCAACCATGAACGTCTCTCGAAGAACTCCCCGACTCGGAAAAAAGTAGTTCTTTTTATAATTGTTCATATACCCATAATCCCTTGCGTCTTCACGTGATCCCATAATTCATTGCGTCCATGTCCCATAATGCATTGCATCGTTATTGCATAAAAATGCGATGCCAGTCCCCCCTCATTCTTTTAAGTTATCTGGCCGAGGATGGATTACGGCAGAGCGGTAAGTGCTTTTTTTTCTCTCCCTCGTTTCAACTGCAGTAGCTTTACATGCTAAGCAAATACGGGCTCTTTTTTGGCGGGGACAAGGCAAGTCGCGACCAGTTGTGCTGGTCCCAGGTTCTGTCTCATGTCCGCCACAGAAACAGACCCAAATCGGAACTCAGCTCTCCAATTTCCAATGCCAAGCCGTTATCCACAAATCAATGTGTACAGCACCTTGCATTCCCAAGGAGTCACCCATCTAGGTTTTTTTCACCCTGTACAAGGCCTAAGCACCACTCAAGGTAGAGGGTTACAGAGTAAGAGATACTGTTTATGGGTATATGTAGGGAAGATAATGGTTAATCCTAGACTTGAACAGGTTAAGATTGTAGTGTCTAGGGAAGCATCCCCTTGGGAGTTAGTTCCACAATGCAGTTTGTGGAAATGGTCTGAAGATCGCTCGTGATATAAAACTGATAAAAATAAATCAACACTGCATGGCGATTCTCTCTACACATTTCTTATTGCTCAAAACTTTATGTCTAACAGCCTAGATCATCAAAAGTCATGCAGAAACTGCCCCTCTCAGTAGACTAAGAAGACTTCCAATAATCTAAGCCAGTAGACATTAATTTCAGTGTTTGAAAATAAAGAGGGACGTCTACTCAAACGAGTGCTCCCATTGAAATAGGAAATGCTGGGTTGAAAGCATGCCATTAATTTTGTATATTTTAGCATTTCTTTTGTTTTAATATTTTACTTTTAAAAAGGACTTATTGTTGAACAATCATATACTTCTACTGTCATGCTAATAATCAGATGATTGTTGGTTCGAAAAACAAGTTAATACCAGGAAATACCATAAAATGAAAAATTACCAGCTTACCTTGCCAAGAGAAAGAGTTTCCGAAGAATCCACACTGCCTCTACGATGGGATCTCGTTGTTGAACTCACTTTGACAGTATTGTTTGGAACTGTAACACTGAACAAAGAAGAAAATATGTTATGCACACATTTGTTACATTTTTATATATATATATATATATATATATATATATATATATATATATATATATATATTCATACACGTTTCATCAAATAATATAGACAAGTGTTGTCTATTTATTTTATGCAAATTCTTTTCATAATGTATTTAGGGTTGCTACTGATATTAAAGGCATTACATGGGTTATTTAATATTGAAACATTTTGGATTGTAAGAATAATTCTTTCTTATGATTTAATATTGCATTAACAAATTTTTTTTTTAGCCTAACACGTCACATTTCACCACCAGCAAGCAGACAATCCTGATGAGTGGTCACTGCCTCGAACACTCACTTCCAACCACAAATGGAACATGTAGATGCTGGAAGAATGATCAGTTCCTTTTATCATTCCAGAAAATACCAAACGAAGGTTGGTAATGAATGATAATAATTAGGACAAGAACAACACATATAAGATTCACCAGCGGCACGTAGTAGTAGTCAACTGCTAGAAGTGAGTCAAGTGAATTCTACAATGAAGTTCCAACTGCAGACCAACATACAGTATTTACTACTGTATTTATGTGAATGGGGACTTAACCATTTCCGTCTGTAGGTATGCTACAACAGTATTTTAGCTTCAGTGTGGAAGGGTCACATCACACAGTTCAAAAGAGGAAAACTCAGAACAGTAAGAATTACTTTAGGGTTCATGTGTTTTTTTATATTCAAGAACTGATACAAGGTTTATTTAGGGCTGCTTGATATTAAAGGCACTACATGGGTTATTTAATATCGAAACATTTTGGACTGTAAGAATAATTCTTTCTGTGAGCGAATATTGCATTAACAAATTTTTTTTTTAGCCTAACACGTCACATTTCACCACCAGCAAGCAGACAATCCTGATGAGTGGTCACTGCCTCGAACGCTCACTTCCAACCAAAAATGGAACATGTAGATGCTGGAAGAATGATCAGTTCTTTGTATCATTCCAGAAAATACCAAATACCTTCTGCCATGCTCTATCTTTATAAGAGTCAGGTCAGACCAAGAATGGAACAATGCTGCCATATTTGGGCTCGTACTGCCCAATCCTCACTGTTCAGTCTCAACAAAGTACAAAAGCGTTTACCCGGCCTTGTGGGTGATGAATTATTCTGTGCCCTGCAACAGATGAAACATTGTTGGCCTTTCACAACTGTATCACTCTTATTATGACAGATGTTTGGATGAGATACATTCCTTATTTCCACCAGTTCAGACCTTCACAGCTAGGACTTGCCATGCCATGCTCACTGTGGAAAAACATTCCCATTCCATTTGTGTTCCTTTGATAAGGAGCAAGTTCTACACAGACAGCTTCTCCCCCCCCCACCAGACTTATTATAACTTTCCTACTTGACCTCATAATACTTTCTTACTTCCCACAACATTACAACAATCTCAATCTGTAGCACTCTACCTTGAGTGTCTCTTGACCCTTGTATTTAAAAAAAAAAATTTTTCATTTGAATTTCTGGGATAAGAAATCTCAGTTTTTAAAAAATTACAATAAGTTTAAAAATGTTTGAAATTTTTTTTTAAATTTCAATAAATTTAAAAAAAAAAAATTTTACAGACAACAAATTAAAGTTTTGTCAAGATAGAAAAATTTAGCAATTTTTATTTATTGAATGACGAGTGAAAATTCAACCTATGCCTTTTCCGTTTTTTTTTTTTTTTCTTAAATAGTCCTAGACAGTGGACACTCACCTGACATATCTCGGAGAAACAAATGCAGGCTGTTTATTTTCAATGCCGAGACAATCTTCCGTTTCTTTACCAGAAATTTTCTTTTTTCGTACAAGCTCAGGAAACAAACGGTTGTTTATTTGATATGATTGGATTTCTAAACAAGAGAAAAAAAATAATGTTTTTGTCAATGAAAAATTGTTGTGGTAGGTGTAACTAGGTTGAAATCATGTCATTGTAGCCATATCAGATTATCAATGGACACCTGATGATGACTAGACACCACTTGGTCAAAACCTTTTGTCTATAATCACATCTATATCAACCAAGATGAAAAGAACAGTTTGAAATCATACAAGAATGTTGACAATTAGTTATCTCAGAAATGAAATACTAAATTATTTCACCTGTGCAATTTATTTTTAATACAAATTTTTTAAATTATCATATAAAGGGTGTTCCAATAACTTGGACTGATTTTAATTGTGAATTAAGTTTAAGCGTTGAATGATTTTTTGTCTTTTTCTTTCAGATTTAACAACTTAAGTCTTTGGCAATTTCAACCATTGAAAGATTAACAATCAAACGTGTTAAAGTTTCAAGAGTGCAATTGGAAAAATTGTAAATTCAAAAAACTGGGCCGATGGTAGATGTGAAAACACCATTGTGTGCTCGTTTATGCCATTCAGCTGAAAACATTGCTGCAGTGCACGAGAATGTGGCTGAAAATCCAGACCCCTCTATTTGTCATCACATGCAGGAATTGAACCCTCTCCACAACATTACATTGTTTCCAATTGCACTCTCGGTTGGTCAATTACGTTGACAAAAACATTTCACAATACTATGAATTAGTCAAGCTGAGTATAATAAAAAAAAAATGCATCTAAGCAATTAACTAAGTTGAAGTGAGTTCAATTGGATTTTCTTAAAACATACCAAATTACAAGAAATGAAAATAAGTTTGCTGAATTAACTAATACAGGCAGAAAATCATTCAAATGTCTGGTCAGCTCGATGTTGCTATGTCCAAATTCGGAAATTCATGTGAACAAAGCATAATGACAAAAATAACTTGAGAAAATAGACGTCTTGCTGAAAATATTTATACAGAAGTTTTAGAGAATTATGAGAACTTTTATAACAACTTACTTTTTTCCCTACGTAGGACAGGTATTTGACTTGTAAAGGATAATAAGAACTATTTGCTAATAAAAATAGAAGTAATTTGAATTATAAATGAGGCAAATTCTTTTACGAACAATACCTGTCAGTTTTGATTCTCTTTTTTCATTTTGTCTTTCTTCCTGACTACTCCATTCCTAATTTTTGCAATAACTTTCATTGCTGTTCCATTTTTAGAGCAAGTCTCATTCCAGCATTATAAAAAATCCAGATCTATTTAGATTCTTATTTTCTTTTAGTTAGTTTGTGTTTTATACCATTCACCTGCTTCTAACATAATGGCAAATAAAAGGGAAGAAAATCCAAATTTGAAAACCCCTTGCTTTTTGAGTCGGTGTAAATCAGGACTCCCACATACAAGAGGATGGTAAAAGATTTTATCTTAGTTTCTTGTGTTTTTATGACCATCAGTAAAGTCTGCGAAATGAGATCTTCAAAGCAGCCACCCACTTGATCAAAAGGAAATGGAATAATAGATAAGTAAATGAAAACTTTTGGGAACAAGTAACATTTGATTGAACGATAATTTTCATTAGCGGCGTTAAATAATGTAGCAATACGACTTCTCACACATCCTTATATAGATGAATAGATAGATTCTTTTTCCTTTTAACTCAATTTAATGACCATGTGTTTTCAGGAGTCTTGTCTCCAGCCCACCTTTGAATTGTCGAACGTACAATTGTGTTAGTATTTTTACATAGCCGTAAATGTATGGTCCTTTGAAAGACTGGCCACCCAAAACCTGTCCGGATGGCCCTCCTATCCTGTTGGTGGAACACGAGTGGACAGAAAGAGGTGGCGAGTTCCCAATCCAGTATCCATTCCTAATTCTGACTGCTCCATTCCTAATTTTTGCAATAACTTTCATCACTGTTCCATTTTTAGAGCAAGTCTCATTCCAGCATTATAAAAAATTCAGATCTATTTAGATTGTTATTTTCTTTTGGTTAGTTTGTTATTTATACCATTCACCTGATTCTAATATAATGACAAATAAAAGGGAAGAAAATCCAAATTATAAATATTAGAAAATTACTCAAATGTTTTTCTTATGGTCAGTACTGTGTAGCTATATTCAGAGTAAGAAATTCAAGTGAATATAGCATAATGACAAAAAGGACTTTAGAAATAGACATCTTGCTGAAAATATTGTTTATACAGAAATTTTAGAAAGGTACAAGAACTTTTTTTGACAAGTTACTTTTCTCTTAATAGAACAAGTATTTAGCTCACTTGTGATAAATCCATTGACAGGTATAATTCTTGATTTTAACAGATTTCAACATTAAGTGATCTTTTTAAATAAACCATCTTATTTGCAGTTGCCAATCCCTCAATAACTTAAATAAATGAACACGAAATGAATTAACAAGAGTAATTTTTAAATGATGCCTTAAGAAAAAAAAAAAAAAAAAAACTCACACACTATAGAAGTATAAAAGTTATCTCCCTTTAATTTTCTACATTTGGATTTTTTGGTAAAACAAATATCCGATTCAATGCTTTCAGTGAAGCCAGTTTTGGGGACAAATGTAACTTACTATTATGAACCGGACCCGTGACATACAAAAATAATTTAGGGAGGTAGTCTCAAAGATGAAGATAAGTAACTCACTTGATTCAGCTAAAATGTCCTGAATCAACTGGTGCTCATCAGAATCATCCACAAATTTCTTCTAAAAAAAAAAAAAAAAAAAAAAAAAAAAAAATATATAATAATAATAATAATATATATATATAATATATATATATATATATATATATATATATATATTAATTAGAATGTGACAGGTAAGCTCATATCACATCCTCTCAAAAATATTTACAGAAGCACACTAAAAAAAACTAACACCAACAGAAGTGTGCCAAAAAGGAGTGTTCAGGAATATTTTATGGTGGGATAGCGTGTATATTGGAGTCTCTACAAACAATTTGATTTGTTTTTTTACTGCTTATCAACCCTTTGCAGGTTATTTAAAGCCAGAAAATATTTTTAGATTGTAAAATGTGTCAAGGCTGGAATGATTGAGCCACCTAGTGAGGTGGGTGGTATTATTGGAAAAGAAGGACAGGAAGATTATAAGGATAAGGAGCGATGACGATTGTCCCTTGACTTAAAGACTCACATGAGAGTCAGTTCCACAGAGTGGCAGTTCTGGAGGTGGGGGGGGATGTAAAAACTATCCGAGTGGCACTTTCTTCTTGCATTTGACAACATGAAGGAAATCAAGATGATTTGGCTCTGTGGAAGTGGCATGAAGTGTCCTCACCATAAAGGTCTGAACTAAAAAATGGAGTTCATCTGAACATTTGCCATGGAAATAGCGATAATGTGGGAACAGGCTTATAACATTGTGTCTATGTGGAAAGTGGTTGCAGGGTGGAAAACAAATCATCGCCCACAAGGATTGGTTAAAAAATAAACAAATAAAAAAAAATGACTGATGAAATTATAATTCTTGCAAGCAAAGCTATTATAGGTCCTGACCTGGCCTCAGCTTTAGTTACTTTCCTCATCTGCCCAATAAAACTTGCCTGTGCTTTTTCTATGAGTACTTTCATGGCAATTGTTTAGATGATCTCTTCACCATGGTACCTGGACTTTATGAATTTAAGCTCACTACTAGATTAGCAACAAGGTCTCATCAATTTATAAATGAAATGGCTAGATATAACTAAGTTTTATGCCAATAGTTTATTTTCTCACACTTGTAGAACTCTATTCTGGCTGCAAGATCTCCAATCAACTTTTATCTACAAAAAATTTAAATGCAATGTCAATTTTTATACCGTCTTCCTGACAGCTCTTCTATTGTTCTTGCTCCTTATTGTTTGCTTTTTAGCTCTTTCACACTCAGTAAACCCTTGTGGCATTACTGCCTTGCTTGCGGTGAAATGATTTAAAAAAAAAAAAAAAAAAGCTGCATTCCTTTTTTGACACAGAGTTCAGGTTCAAATCAATTCATAGAATTGGAGCTCATCTGAACATTTGCCATGGAAATAGCAATAGTTTGAGAAAAGGTTTACAACATTGCATCTATGGGGAAAGAGGTGGTAGGGTGGAAAACAAATCACCACCCACAAGGATTGGCTAAAAAAAAATTATCAATTCATAGAAGAAGGAATTCTATCTCACCTCTATTGACAAGAGGACAAAACTCATGTACAGCATGTGATTCTACAAATGATTCTAGGAATGAGGGAATAAGAAATGGTAACAAAAATCTTCCAACTTACAATAAGTTAACGTCATTAATTGATCGACCCTGTTGCTCCTTCCAGAATTCTCTTAATTCTTCAAAATAGTCATCAGAAATTTCCAGGGACGCCTCTTCTTTGTTGTCTAAAACTGAAGCTATCCAATCATAACCAAGCAATTTGTATTCCTTTAATAAAAAGAAGAAAAAAATTCTTTGTAAAAGTGTGGGTGTTGAACTGTGGTTTTTAAATGGTGTAACGCACCTCATAAGTGCAAAAGAGGATAGCAGGTTAGTCGGAATGATTGAAAGACAATTAAAGATTTAGAAACAGTTTTAAAAAAATTCATATGCCAAAAATAAATATGATTTCAAAATTTAAAATATTATTATGGATTACTTGTAATTGTATACAGGAGTCCCAGTATAAATAGTTATAAATAATTATTGATTGATTTTATCATGGTGATATTTTTGCATTATATAAAGTATTAAGAATATAGTAACAAGGGTCCGCAAATTGGAGGAGAGAATTATCAATGATAATGTTCTGACTTCAAATTCGCGGTTACCTCCCTTTAACGCTCTGTCTGGACCTTCTTTGCTATAGGGCTGCTTGCACCTTTTCAATGGGACTTCCTTTTTGTGAGGCACAAGTTGATTTTCATTTAAAAAAAAAAAAAAAAAAAAAACTGAAGCTATCCAATTATAACCAAGCAATTTGTATTCCTTTAATAAAAAGAAGAAAAAATTCTTTGTAAAAGTGTGGGTATACACACACATACATATATATATATATATATATATATATATATATATATATATATGGTGTGGCACACCTCATAAGTCTAACAGAAGAGGATAGCAGGTGAGGTGGAATGATTGAAAGATAAAGACCTAGAAACAGTTTCAAAAAATTCATATGCCAAAAATAAATATGATTTAAAATATTATTATGGATTACTTGTAATTGCATGCAGGAGTCCCAGTATAAATAGTTATAAATAATTATTGACTGATTTTATCATTGTGATATTTTTACATTATATAAAGTATTAAGAATATAGTAAAAGAGTCTGCAAATTGGAGGAGAGAGTTATCAATGATAATGTTCTGACTTCAAATTCGCGGTTACCTCCCTTTAACTCTCTGTCTGGACCTTCTTTGCCATAGGGCTGCTTGCACTTTTTCAATGGGACTTCTTTTTGGTGAGGCACAAGCAGATTTTCATTAAAAAAAAAAAAAAAAAAAAAAAATGTTTGGGAACCACTGGTGTAGAATAAAAGATAATAATTTAGGGTTCAGCATAAGAAAAAAATATATTGTGCTAATAAACATTGACACAAGTTGTTGGTAATATAACAGATCTCTGAAATACGAGGCGCATTCCAGAATATTTGGAACTTTTTCAGGAGAGACGTCTATTAATTTCAAAGAAATACAAAACTAATCTCCTTCCTTTAATTTCAATGCACTTGTTGTAATGGTGCAGCCACTCCATCGAGACCACATGGAAGTCATCCAAAAATGAATGCTTCCAGGACCTTCGTCACAGTCGCCTTCACCTTCTCAATGTCCCCAAGATTCTTTAAACAACCCACAATCACCGGGAGCAAGGTCTGGACTGTTTTCATGGCCATCAACCATCACCCTGCTGTCACTGACGCATCTTTCCTTCTGTTTGTCACCCTGGGAACAAACTTTGCTCAAATTTTGTGCATGTTCATGAATAATTCTGTGGACAGTTGCCGCACCATCTCCAAACTGTATGATTATTGTCTTTAGATGATGATCTTCATCCAGAAAATTACAAATTTTCTCAACCAGCTCTGATGTTCCGACGTCCACACTGTCTCCCTCACAAATCATCTCACACCCACTCTACCAACCATAAACCTTTTGTGCCAGCAAAAAACATGCTTGGCTCATGCAAGTTAATCCATAAGCAGTCTGGAGTATTTCATAAGTTGCTTTAGCATTTTTGCCCAGTTTAACACAAAAGTTAAATGCACAGCGAGTTTCCAAATTGTATTCACAACCTGACTGCATTCTGCAAACTGGTCAGCTAACGGGAAGTGCTTAGTAGGGTGTGTCCTAAAAGCTGTTATAGCAGTCTCATTGAATGCGGAATAACATAGTTATCAAGTCAACTTATTAGATGTATAGTAATTATATACTAAAAAGTACAATAATTTAGGAAACTTATAATTGCTTCTCCCCAAAAATGTCTCAAAACTTCTTGAATGTACCTCACATATATTTGATAAAGTCAGTTGATGGCCAGAAGGCCAAAAAAAAAAAATAAATAAATAAACACACACACACAAACAAAAAAGCAAAGACACAGGATGTGGTGGGGGTCTTTTCATTGGTTATTTGGCAAGGTGAGACTTCCAGAGTTTTAAAAAAAAAAAAAAAAAAAAATGGATACTAACTCCAACATTTTTCAGTTAGGATTTTGTCTTGGTAACAAGCAAATTCATTTAAAAAAAAAATAAATAAATAAAAAAAATAAAAAAATAAATAAATAAAAAAATAAAAAAAGGCCAATGTAGAGAAGTTCTCTCACTCACACTACCCTCTCATTCAATGACAAGTAATCAGCAACATTTCCTGGCTGGAGACAATTTGAATGATGCAGACCCCATCACATTGCACTATTTATGAATGAACCATTCTCATTGTTATCACTGAAATCACTTGATTATTGAAAAAATAATGTAAATAAATTAGTTTGATGTTTATTTCAAATAGATATTGTCTTTCATTCTAGTTGCTATCTTCTATCTTCCTGAACCCTGTTCCTTTGTCTTTTCCTCACTAAAATCTTCTCATTCTCTCTCACCCCCTCTCCCCAAACCTCCTGCATCCTAGTAGCATTATCAGACTCCTTGGAATGAAATGATAAAAAAAAAAAAAAAAAAAAAAAAAAAAAAAAAAAATCAATTGTCCAGTTTTCTTGCCTGCTGATGAACAGCAACATTTCTTATTACAAGAAAACCTTTTACCTGGTGAAAAGCTGGCTCTTAACTTTTACAGAGATAAATTGATCGACCATGTTGCTCCTTTGCAATTTGCTCAAATCCTAAAAGAAATATCAGGGTTCATGACTCACAAATTCCTACATTACAAGACTTTGGGAGGCATTCTTTGGATATTTTTGCAAATTCATGGCTTAAAGACAACTTTGGATCCAGATTTGGAATTGTCGTTGAGTGTCAATTATTTTTCATTATGCATAATATATGACTCCCATCAGATAACGTAAAAATAGAATTTGCACTCAAGTGTCCATCAGAGAAGCCAGGTGCATCACTGAGTTGACCTGAAAGATGCCATCCAAAGGGCATATCTGCACCTTCACTAGCAGAGAGTGCACCCAACAAACGAACAGGTAAACAATTCAGATTTACCTGGGATGTGTACACATGGGACAAACCGAACGACATCCGCCTAACAAGAAGCTAGAAAGAAATCTCATAGACAAGAAAACAAAAATCTTTCATGGCTGCCATTGGCAAATGAAGAAAAAAGTTAGAAGCAAAGGGTTGCAAAAAAGAAAAGGTTAATTCTATTATTTTGTCAGTGATGGAGAAAATACGTGAGTACAGGAGACTTTTCTGCTAGCAATTTCAGACCCTCATATTTGCCATGGAGTGAAAAATTTTGGAAGAAGAAACATGTGTCTACATTTCTGAGATAAGGTATTATGTACACTATTTACATTATTCGGACTATTGTCCTCATCTTTGTTGCTATATTTATCACAATGTTTCAGATGTTTTACGCTCCAGCATTCTTCTGCAGAATGAAATATAAAGGGTAGACAGGCTGCCCCCTTAAGGTAAGGCTTCAAGAAAACCAGAAAGCTGTAACACGAGGGGAAGTGAAAAAATCAGGCATGGCTGACCATATGAAGAGAGAAGGGAGATCACCGCCCTTTGCGGGGTCAGGTTGAGATCATAGACAAAAGAACACCATTGGAAAATTCGTAAACTTAAGGAATCAGCACATATGCTAGGCCGCAAAGATCTACTGAGCCGACCAAGCATAGAAATGAATACAATATGGAAACCAGTAATAAGGAGTGCCAGAGAAAAGTGATAATAACAATAAAAATTGCAATATGAGCTCTGGTAAAAATACAAAATGATAACAGCAAAAATTGCAATATAAGCACTGGTAAAATAAGATTGCTGAAGACATTGGGTTTATAATACCCAGAAATTCATACACAGATGTCCTCAAGGACACATGGCACAGTGGATAAAGGTGTTGGTTAGATCCAGTGACGGGAGTGAGTTCAATACCCAGCTAAGGCAGTGCTTGGAGAGGGGAATTAACAGGAGATAACTGACATACATTAAACATATATGGGCTGGAGCACCTTCTGCTTACCTCGGAGTTCTTGACAAGATCCAGAGACGGATATGTAATCTAATTTGCCCTGATCTAGCGTCTTGTCTGCAGTCACTCTCTCACAGACGCCTCTCTGTCTTTTCTACAAATACTTCCATGGTAACTGATGAGCTGCTCTCTCTGGTTCCCAGACTCCATGAATTCAAGCGCCCCTACGAGGCTGGCATCCCGCTCACCCCTTACACCGTAGAAACCTTCAAATGTAGCCGTCTCTTCTACTCCAATAGCTTCATACCTTGCACCTCTCGCCAGTGGAACACCCCCCAATTACTGTTTACCTGAAAGCTATAATTTTCCAACTATTCAAATGTAATGTCAATCGACATCTCCAATTACCTTGATCTACCCACTATCCTTCTCCTCATCCTTTCTCCTATCACTCTTATCTGCTCTCGCTCCAAATCTTCCCACCCCCCCCTGCATCCTAGTGGCTTCACGCTTTGCTTGGGGCACAATGCTTAATAAAAAAAAAAAAAATAAATAAAATATCATGTGGAAGTAAAACAGTCTACCCCAGTGAGTGAAATAAGGCCGGAGTGTACAACGGCCAAAACGTGATAAATATGGCGGACAATAGTCCAAATAATGTAAATAGTGAAGAAAAAACAGAAAATCTAAACCTCTTGCTGATTTGTTAATTCATGGGCCAATGAAAAGGTACCTAAGCCTACAACACCCATTTTTTTCAGAAATACAATATATTTCAACAGTCTGTGTGTGTTTATTAGTTCAACCATGTTTGATCTTTAAGGTTTAACTTACTCCTGTACCACAATGATTACTACTAAACACACACACACACACAATGTTACAGCCGTAACACAATGGTTTACACTTACCTTTGATTTCAGACACTGATTGCTAGGGCATCGATCATCTATTGTTGTCTGCATTGTTTGCCATCTGCCCTTATCCTGTTCTGCCCGCTTCAAAGCCAATTTCTCGGGTCTTTTAATATTTCCTGGATCACCCAAGATCTCTTCATAGATGGAGGTCCTTGTCCTTGCATTGGAACTCGCAGATAATTTATCATGTGAAAAACCTTGTTGATATCTTTCCCCATGTTTATCATAGTCCGGCTCATCAGAGTCGGACATGGAAACTGCTTCGCCAACACTATCAGAGTCCGAGCCGATACCAGAATAGCTATAATTAAGACCTAATCCTAGATCATGTTCCTGCTCGATTCTCTCCAAAATTCCTCCAGAATGGACTTTGACATTTTTGTCAATAATACGGCGCCGCTTAACAGAGTTTGGAGTTATTCTCTGCTGAGTTTCCAGTTCCCCGCTAGATGGATATTCGACAAATGCTGAACCAACCTGTGGATCGAAATCTTCAAAATTATTCACTGTATCATTGCTGCTGGGTTCAAACTGGGTGGGGTCCTGATATGCTGAACTCGTGGCTGCCACATGGGCATTGACACCCAAGTAGCAGACACCCTGGACAGCATCTTCATCTTGCACTTCAAACATTGAGTCATAGCCAGAGGATTTAAGGTTGTGCTTTTTAGGATGACGTTTGGCAAGTGCAACCAATTTTTGCTTGGCTGTGTCCAGCTGGGCCAAGTCGTAGGATTGGACCCACATGTCCTGGCTTATGCCCGTCACATGACCCATATCCAGGCTCTTGTCAACAATGGTTGTTTCCTCAAAGATGAAATCTTGAGAGCTGCAAAAGTAACATGATAGACAGAATACAGTACAGTTTTACTTAATGTATGTGTGTGCATATATATATATATATATATATATATATATATATATATATATATATATAAGTAAAAAGAAAAATTATCGACCAGATCAGAGTCAGGCCAATGTAAAAAAAAAAAAAAAAAAAAAAGAAAAGAAAAATACATTTTTATATTAAAATTACCAACAAATATATTTATGATCTACAAACTGTAGGGTGCGATGGATAAATTGTCATCTAAATTATACAAAAATGAAAATAACATTGACATCTCATTTTAACAGATACATTTACTAAAATTACACAAAAATATCTTGAAATACTAAAGAGTAAATTTATTGAATAAAATCTCCATTAGCTTCAACCAGAGCATCTAGAGGACTTCGGAATCTTCTGCAACTCTTCTGGACGGTCTCCTTGTTTAAGTTGGTGAATACTGCCATAATCCCTTCGGTTCATCTTTGTTGTTACAAGGAGTTTTGTTGGTCTCTCACTCAACTGCACCCCACACATAATAATCAAGGTGGGTGGGAGTTAGGAGGCCAGATGTAAGGGTTGATTGGTCACAAAAATTGTCTGATAGCTATGCCTGGGTTGTCTTGCTTGTGTGACATGGTGCAGAGTCCTATTGCCAAACATAGGGTCTTCCAGTAGCCATCCTCTTAACCTAGGGCAGCACTACCTCCTCCAGTTACTTGATGTAAGCCTCCATGTTGAGTCTGAGCAAGACCAAAGTGAGAAGATAAATGGAGGCATTAAAATTGCCATCACTAATGATCACTCAAAACACCTTTGTAATCACAATTGGACTCAACCGACTCTTTCCAAATCTTCTGCACTGTCCTCGGATTGACACCCAAACACTCTGAAATGTTCCTATTGGAGCTTCCGGTGCCAATGTCAAGTAATACAGTATGCCGTTTCCAAATTTCTGGTGGAGTGAATTGCATCATGGTACTCTTTTTCTCGCAGACAGTACCAAACTGACCTTACTATAGTGTGCAGTCAACAAAAATCAAGAACAACATTCATGACAAAATTAAAAAAAATATATAAAAATGGCCACAATTTACCCAACACAACACTGTATCTAAAAGAAGAAAAAAAAAACATATCTTTAGCCTGAAAGTATAAAATTATGTACAAAATATCTATTGTAGAAAGAAACAAATTTTCTACAAAATATTTAAGATTTCAGCATTAAGTAACCCATAGAGGTGTTGATAAGGCACTAAACATAATCAACCAATCATGCTTCTTCTATAAATATTTTCACAGTAACTGTTCTAATACGTTTTCATCTTTGGCACGTTGCCTTCATGAATTTGAGTGCAATACTTGATTGGCTGCTAGTTCTCACTGCTGAAATTGCTAGTTGTAACCATAAGTTCTATGCTAATAGTTTCTTCTATTGCACCTCTTGCTTGTGGAACTTTCTTCTAGATTCCTATTTTACTGTCAACTGATTTTTAAAAATTTAATTGCAGTACTAATTGTCATCTTTTGTCTGCTTGAGTCCTGTTCTTTTATTGTCCTCACTGTTTCTTTCATTCTTAGTAACTCTCTTCCATCCTAGTGGCTTTATTGTCTTGGTTGGGTGAAATGATTTAAAACAAAAAAAATTATTGGTTTTGTGTGTAAAAAACAAAAAAAAAAAAAATGCTACTAAGAGACCAGGGGGCTACTGGGGGTGAAGGAAAATAAAAAGACTTTTTTTTTTTTAGAAAGAATCAGAAAACTAATTCTAAAACAGTAAACAGAAAACAAGGAAAACAGAATCTCCATTCCTGTTCAAAAGACCAGGGTAGAGTTGCCAGATTGGCTTTTCTAATGCCAAATTTCTGAAATCTGGCTTTTTTTCATGTTGGTTTGGTGCCAGAGAATTGATTTGCCATTTTTGGCTTTATTTATTTTTTTTTACGTGATAAAATATATAACAAACAGTACATTACAGTTGTTATACTACAATCTTTTGTTTTTATTATCCTCAGTGATGCACCTGAATTATGGGAGATTTCAGCCATTTTTATTATCATATCCATAAACCAGAAGGGGAAGGGCACCCAGAAATTTATTGTATATATATATATATATATATATATAAAATTAAAAAAAAAAAAAAAACAGGGAATAATGATTCTTTTGCAAATCTATGCCAATTTCAGCAGCCCATCAAAAGGAAGAAATTTCTCTTTCATAATCCTCAATCCAATAAATAAACTAATGACCTGGTCTTTCAGGATAAACTGTTTCTTTTATATAGTGGATTATTTTAATATCTGAGATGAGGTATTATGTACATTATTTACATTATTTCACTCACTGGGGTAGACAGTTCCATGTACTGGATGTCAGTTATCAGTTATCTCCTGTTAATTTTCCCTCTGAAAGTTCTCCACTGCCTTAACCGGGTATTGAACTCACTCTTTGGGTCCTGTCACTGGATCTAACCAATGCCTTTATCCACTGTGCCATGTGTCCTTTCATCTGGGTATGAATTTCTGGGTATTATAAACCTAATGTCTTCAGCAACCATTTTTACCAGTGCTCATATTGCAATTTTTGCTGTTATCATTGCATGTTTTTAAAGAGTTCAGTTTGACATTCCAACCACCTGAAGAAGGCCGGAGCATACAACGGCAGAAACGTAATAAATATAGCGACAAAGATGAAGACAATAGTCCGGATAATGTAAATAAATTGGGTTATTTGTTGGGTTTGACTTGGGTCACTATAAGGAATGTATGAACGAGTAAATAAAATGTGATATATCACATTTCAAGAACAATTAAGTCTGGAATATAACAATACTAATTTATATAAACATTAATAAGTCATTTCGTATTGTACAAAAACAATAGTAATGTTCATAGATTGTACTAGGTTGGTATTTTTAAGTAAGATTAAATAAAATGAATGAATACAAGAGTTTGTAAAAGTACTTAAGTATTTTTGAGAGATGCTATTTTCACTTAAAATATGTCCTGTGAATAAAATTGGCGATAGAATGTATGAGAGACGTGTGAGGAGTGGTAGTGGTTGTTGAAACCAAGATGCCTTTGATGTAGCCACTCTCACAGTTGTCAGTATTCGTCGCTCTACGTCTTCTCTGTTAATTTGGCATTACAAGTTAAATATTCTGCACCATGCATATCATATAGGCCTTTTTCAAGCACTTTTATCCATTTAAGATTTTTTTTTTTTCAAATGAAAGTTAGCTGAGTCACTCTAAAATTGCAGGAGGAGGCGGTCAATTTTCGTAAATATTTTTACTTTTATCCATATATTTCCCTTGTTAAAGAATTATTTTCACATATCAACCATAGCACCAATCAGGTGTGTATTTGCTCCCTTTGATCCTGCTACAATAGTTGTGTATCAGTTTCTATTTTGATCCTTGATTCCATTCCTAGTTATTTGGAGGTTAAAGTTGATCTTGTCTATACACTCGTCAGACAGCTAGTCCTGGGTATGATGATAAACTACATCCAGCAGCAAGACATCTGATCAAGAGATTGGAAGTTTTGAGGAGCATGGAACTACCTGTAAATTGCTGTTGTTCCCAGGTTCTTAAGTCTTACGGAAACTGAATCTTACTTATTATAAAACGCAGATTGTGTGTGTGTGTGTGTGTGTGTGTGTGTTTATATATTGGATCGGATTTCCTACATTTTTCAACCGATTTCAACAAAACTTCACAGGACTACGTAAAATTACCTTGCGGTGGTTCTGACAGCGCCAAAAATTGGAAAAACAATTTTTTTTGCACAAAATCAATTTGAAAACACGATTAAGAGGCATTCTGTTGCCAGAATGAAAGGGGGACAACTCATATCGAGTTATACTTATTATAAAACCCAGGTTGTTTGTGTGTGTGTGTTCGTTTGTGTATGGGATCGGATTTCCTACATTTTTCTACCGATTTCAACAAAACTTCTCTTTTTTTTTGGCAGGTAGTGTTTCTTATTGTCTTGCACATGCTTTAAAAATTCCATTTACAAGACAATTGTTTATAATAAAATTCTATTCAATCGGTAGACTCATAACAATTGAAAACAATGTTTTTTTTGAGTTTGGGTTTGACCAATTAGTAAAAAAAAAAAAAAAAAAAAAAAAACTAATTAAGACATGCGTGTACGTCAACCTTAAACAATAATCTTTGTCAATTTTATTTTTCAGTCTTTATGATGGTCAATACTTGATCTATCTCTTACTGTTACATTCCCGGGCAATGCCGGGCTCTCCTGCTAGTAATTAATAGAACGGTTATTTTTCTATCATTAGATTAAATAAATTAGGTAAAAAAAACTTTTCAATCAAAAAATTTAAATTTCATGAAATTTATCTAAAAACGTTTTTAATCATAGAGTATTATTAAAATTCTAAAAGAAAAACACCAGAAAAAGAAAGAAAAAAAACAAGATTTTTCCAGGGAATCAGACTTGTTTGACTATAGTGTTATGTAAATTAACTGAATTAATTTCCGAATTTACTGCTATAAAAAAAAAAAGTCACTATACAAATGTTTAAAGTGGTTTCATTATAAAACGCCTAAAATCTCACTATATATTAAATAAATAAATAAAATATCTCCTGTTTGTTTGTTTTTTTTTTCTGGCTTTATATTAAGATTTTAATTTGGCATTTTTCTGGCATTTTATGCGTATTTGGCTTTAAATAAAAATTTTAATCTGGCAACTCTGGGCCAAGTTGTTGTGTGAACCACATGAAAGGCAAACCGATCACCTCCTATTGAGGAGAGAAAAAAGAAAGAAATAATGTCAGAGTTCAGGTGGAGACGTTTGGTTAGTTTTGTTTTTTTGTTTTTTTTAGAAGAAAAGGGTATTTGAAGTAGACTTTCTTTTTAGCAGGAACCAGAAACTCAATCCAAAGCAGGAATCAAGAAAAACCTTTACTACTCTTCATAAGAGACCGCGGAGGAGTGTGACCCGGACGATAAGCAAACATATTTACGAAAATTGACCGCCTCCTTCCGCAATTTTAGAGTGACTCAGCCAGCTTTCATTTAAAAAAAAAAAAAAAAAATCTTAAATAAATTTCTCGAAAATGAACAGAATTTCAAAGATAGAATTAAAAAAGAAAAAAATACTTTTTTTTTTTTTTAAAGAACAGAACAGTCGGAATTTTTTTTGTTCGAACCTTAATTTGACGTTGTAACTAACCTAAGTGCCCTCAATGGTTGTTGTCTTCTTTGAGTTTGGGACTCTAAAGTAAACTCAGTAAAAAAAAAAAAAAGAACTTGTCTGTAAGGGCCAACAAAAATAAATAACCTTTAAACTAGAAATTTGACGCACAAATTCTTACTTTGCTTTTATTTTCAATTTTTAAAGACATTTAAAATTAAGTTTTAAACATTTATTTTTTTTAAATTGGAAAACATCACTTCTTTTCTTTCTTTTCTTCATCGACACAATAAGTTTTCACCAGGTTTTTTTTTATTGTTAAAGAAACGTAACCGTGCGAAACAATGGATGAAATTTTACCTGTTTAAAACCTCCAAAGTTTCTTGCAAACACTTGGTGAGTCCTTTTTGTTTTAGTTGCATAATTTCAACAAGTTCTTGGGTCTTACTTCGGAGTTCCTGAGAATCGACATCTTTGTCGTCATCGTTGTCCATATTGTTGACAGCAAACAGTTCCTTGTCTGTGCGTGTTTATTTGAATCAAGGGACGTAACTCTAATAAGACAGTTGTCTCCCCTTTAATTCGCCCAGAGTGGTGCTAGTAGCATGAGAAAGTTTAAATAGTTTATTTATTTTATTTTTATTTATTATTATTATTAGTAGTAGTAGTAATATTAGTATTAATAGTAGTAGTAGTAGTAACAACAATAACAACAGTTTTATTGCAGCAATCATTTATGTTGAAATTTAATGTTTTTTTGCCTTGTATTAAACAGTCAAAAAATTTAAATAGTAAAACTGATGTTAGTTATGCTTATATTTTTTTAATTAAATTTTTGAGATCAGTTTAAAATAATTTCTTTTACAAACTAGAATAGCAGATCAGTAATTTGAAAAAGTTCTTTTAAGTTTCTTGTTTGGTAGTTTTTTAAGTATATTGAATTAAAATTGCTGCAGTTTGTCAGTATATCTTTTATGGTGAATGGCTCTTGGCATGTCACACAAACTGGTGGATCTTCCATTTTGAAGATATAAGAATGAGTTATGGAATATTGTCCAATATGGAGGTTGGACATAATCACTTCTCTTCTAGATTGGTGTTTCTGATGCCATTCTCTTATAGTTGGTTTAATTTTGTACAATTTATTGCCTGGATAGAAGTTCCATAGCTTCTGCCCTCTTCTTCAATATATTTATTTATATCTGTATATAGGATTTCCCTATATTCTGAAATTAACCCAAGCTGAAAAGAGTCATCCTCCTCAGGCTGTATCTCTCCCTCTGGAGGAGATTGTGTTTATAATCAGGTGCCTGAGTCATCCACGAAAATGGAAGTGCTGATGGGGGTTTGGGAATTTTTCCATGGAACCGCCAAGAAACTCTTCTTAAACTGACCATGTGTCACATCTGTGAGGTGGGCACACCAGTAAATACCTATATGGGATTTTTGTATCTAAGGTGTTTGATGTGTTCCTAATAGCAGACGCCTTTCTTGTTGCAGAATCTGCTCTATCATTCCCAGTAATTTCTGTGTGGTTTGGTATCCAACAGAAGACAATATCTCTATTTAAGCTATTAAATCCTTTCGAGTAGTGCAATGAAAAATGTACTATTGATTTTTGTTTAGGGATTGACTATTTGCCCATAGCTGGGACCCTAACAGGTGATACCACACTGGGTCAGGGTGGACCTGGGAACGACAGCAATTAAGAGGTGGTTACATGCTCCTCAAAACCTCCAGTCTCCCAATCAGAAGTCTTACTGCCAGATATAGTTTATCATCATACCCAGAACAAAGTAATAGTAGCAGTTCATCTTGACTGGGCAGAAGTTTGTCCAGTGTATGTTGTTAGCATTCCTTTGATGAGTGGATGGAGTGATTCCCAAAGTGCTCATCTATGAAACTCTGGAGTTGGGATGTAACACCAATCAGTTATGTGATAAACCCTTTACTTGTATTAATTATATATATATATATATATATATATATATATATATATATATAAAAGTGAACATTGTTGGAATCGGCTGTATGAATAATTTTAAACCACTCTTTTTTAAACAACTTGGCGCAGGCTATATTCTCAACTAAATGTTGAGCAATAGCCATGGCTTCCAACAATCATTTGAAGATTTTGGAATCGGTCTGCATAGGATTAAGGAAACCTTCTCTCTGCCGGCAGAAAGAATTTGTAAAGTCTCTTAATCTGTTGGGGGATATTTTATTTTAACTGTCCCTCGCTAATTTATTTACACGATTATTTCCCCTCCCCTCGTCACAAGTATATATACTTGTTCGTTATTTTAGTGTGTTTCCCCCTCTTTTTGCTCTTCATTGTCGTTAGTATTCTTTTCGCTAATCCAACGATTGTCTCCTGATGAGATGTTGGCTGAAAGGGCCCTAGAGACTTTTAAAATTAAAATCAATGCATTCCTTGTTTTTAAAACTATATATAAATTTTGTACCTCTAAACATTTTGTATATATATATATATATATATATATATATATATATCATACTTATTATAAATCCTAGGTTGTGTGTGTGTGTGTGTCTGTACATTTATATATTGGATCGGATTTCCTACATTTTTCAACCGATTTCAACAAAACTTCACAGGACTACATTAAATTACCCTGTGGTGGTTCTGACAGCACCAAAAATTGGAAAAACACACATTTTTTTGCACAAAATCAATTTGAAAAACACGATTAAGAGGCATTTTAAGAATGAAAGGGGGACAACTCATATCGAGTTATACTTATAAAAACCCAGGTTGTGTGTGTGTGTGTGTGTGTTCATTTATATATAGGATGGATTTCCTATATTTTTCTACCGATTTCAATGAAACTTTTTTTTTTTTTTGGCAGGTAGTGTTTTTATTGTCTTGCACATTTTTTTCTTTATTTTTTACATTCAGAATGCTTTAAAAATTCCATTTACAAGACAATTGTTTATAATAAAATTCTATTCAATCGGTAGACTCATAACGATTGAAAACAATGTTTTAGTTTGAGTTTGGGTTTGACCAATTCAAAAAAAAAAAAAAAAAAAAAACTAATTAAGACATGTGTCAAATCAACCTTAAACAATAATCTTTGTCAATTTTATTTTTCAGTCTTTATGATGGTCGATACATGATCTATCTCTTACTGTTACATCCCCCGGCAATGCTGGGCTCTACTAAATATATATATATATATATATATATATATATATATATATATATATATATATATATATAAAACTTGATTTAATTCAAAATAGACAGCCTTAAAGGGTCCATTAATTACATTTATTTCCTCAGCTCACATTTCAAAAATAAAAAAATAGTTTTAAATTTACATATTATTTTTATACACTTTTGTGGGGTAGTTTTAAGTTTGTGTAAGGTGATAGAGAGAAGCGGAAGGAGGACGACAGATATGGTCGAAATTAGAGAAGGAAGGGTTATATATATATGTGGAGGGGGGGTATGTGTGTAGGTAGGGGGGACTGAAAAGTTCATAGACTGCCTATGAAGGAGTAATGCTAGAGCTGCGAAATCTTGCATGCATTAATTTCAACTCTTCTTAATAAGAGATTAGCTTAAAAAATCTCTCCTGTTACATTGGTGACCAATCATAATAAAATTTATTTAAAATTATTCTTGTAAATAAACAATCTAATAAATAATGTTTAATATTTTTGTTGTAAATTCACAAGAAGAAAAGAAAATATAGGAACAACTAAGGAAATGTAATGCATAAAAATTAACATAAAATTTAAATTGTATGAAAAACTAATTAACACATTGACTGCCAGAAGTCAATTACAAAATTCCGACTGCAAACACCAACTTTATAATAGCCAACTCAGGCAATAACATTTTTTAAGAGTTGATTTATAGCTTCAGCTGAAGTCTTTTTTTTTTTTCTTTAAGTGTTTCACCGCAAGCAAGGCGAGAAGCCACTAGAACGCAAGGGGTTACAGAAGATTTGGAGCAAGATCAGATAGGAATGATAGAGGAAAGGATGAGGAGAAGGATAGTGAATAGATCAAGGCAACTGGAGATATCGATTGACATTATATTTGAATAGTTGGAGAATATAGCTCTCAGGGAAACTGGAATAGGGAAGGGAGTTCCACAGGCGAGAGGTGCAAGACGTGAAGCTATTGGAGTAGAAGAGATGGCTGCAATTAGTAGTTTCAACAGTAAAAGGGTGAGAGTGGGATGCCAGCCTCATAGGGTGCTTGAATTCATGAAGTCTGGGAACCAGCGAATGCAGCTCCTCAGAGCAATTACCATGAAAGTATTTGTAAAAAAGACAGAGAGAGGTGATGGCACGTTTGTGAGAGAGAGACTGTAGACGAGATGCCAGAACAGTGCCAATTATATTGCATATCCGCCTCTGGAACTTATCAAGAAAACCCCGAGACAAACAGAAGGGGCTCCAGACCATATATGGCAGCAATACTCCATGCAAGGGCGAATTGTTGATGTTAAAAACTATCACTGCGAATGAACTCATGGGTGGTAATTATTATTATGGTGCCAATAACGAGTTGTCTCGTGGTTTGTAGCCAATGTGTTAAAGAATTCAGATGGCTTTTGAGAATTATTTAAATTTGTTACAGTAACAGTAAATTTGACTAAGTAAATACATTGAAAATCAGGAAGAAAGGGATTGTCAGTGGTCAGGAATGAATGCAAGCATTACTGATAGAATAGGCCTATTATATGTATAATATAAATGCATTGCTAATTATTTTACTATAAGAATGCATTGAAAATCAGGAAGAAAGGGATTGTCAGTGGTCAGGAATTAATGCAAGCATTACTGATAGAATAGGGCTATTATATGTATAATGTAAATGCATTGCTAATGATTTTACTATAGTAATGCATTGAAAATCAGGAAGAAAGGGATTGTCAGTGGTCAGGAATTAATGCAATCATTACTGATAGAATAGGGCTATTATATGTATAATGTAAATGCATTGCTAATGATTTTACTATAGGAATGCATTGAAAACCAGGAAGAAAGGGATTGTCAGTGATCATGAATTAATTCAATCATTACAAGCAGTATTTGATTATAATCACTTTAAACAATACCAGAGCTGTAAAAGAAGCTTAGGGGCTTGGTCTCCTTCCACAATATTTTTTTTTTTAAATATTATTAACAAGAAGGGTCTATTTAAGTGCATAAAACTTTGTTTGTTTCAACTGAAAGTAAACATTTATTTGTATTATTAATTTTTGTTACAACTTTTTATCGAATTATTTCCACAATATGGAAATATTACACACTGAAAGAGGAAAATACATAATTGCCTTAGAGAAGGATATGTACACAGATAAAGCAAGTACGGGCCCTGGTATTGTTGTAGTGGGGTTGCAATATTAAACTGAAAAATAAAATAAAAAGGACCTTTTCCAAACTAAGTTTACATGACTGCCAGAGATCAGTTACAAAATCTGACCTCAAACATCAACTTTATAATAGCCAAC